GGTTCCTGGGCCACTGACAGGATCCCGTCCCCCTAACCGCTTTGTCAGGCGGGGCTGCCCGTGAGCACAGCTGTGCGAGGGGAGGGCTACGGGTGGATGTGGCGAGAGGTGGCTGCCCCCGGGCTCTTGGCTGGCACGCTGGTTTATTCTTGTCGGGCTGGTTTATTCTTGTCGGGCTGTCGGCAGGCCCAGCGGTATCACGTGGCTGTTTGGCGGCTCTGCCGCTAGCGCCGGCCGGGGCCTTGTTGGAGGCAGGTTTCAAGGAGGAGTCACATTGAAGCATCTGCTTGAAAACAGGTTGTGCTGGGAACTCCGAGGGGGCGGGGGCCCCACAGCGCGCCCCTCGGGGGATCTGCACAGGGCTGTGAAACCGGAAAGGTGGGTGCAGCTGGAAGCTGGCCAGCTGGCATCTCGTGGGCCATGCCACGGGGCAACCACGCCGGCCCACGCAGCTGCTCTTCATCGCCCAGACACAGCCCTGTCCTGGTGTCTCCTCCGGGCCAGCCCCCACGCAGCCCTCTGCTTTCGGGAGTCAGCCCAGGGCCTCCTGGATACCAGCACTTCCCCGAGGGACAGCAGGGGATTCCCAGGGCACAGCCTGAGCCCAGGGGGACGCTGCTCCAGAGGCAGCATGTGCCGTTACCGCCCTGGCGAGAGTCCGACAGTTCACTGGGCGACTCAGCCCCTCCCCAGCCCAGCACCCCACCAGCTGCAAGCACGTCCGTGTCACGTCGGCACAAGGGCCCCACAACCAGCTGATGCTGGGCGGGAAGGGAGGGAGGGCAGATTGTAGGATAAGGACCACCGGGTGCTGGGGCGTTCGCTCTGTGGCACTAATACAAATAGCCCCCGTGTCCAGCATGGACGTGATCCAGGGAACCCCCTTCCCCATGGTGCTACCTGGAGGCTCGGTGCCCAGATGTGGCCCTGTCACAAGAGCTGCTGGAGCCGATGCGTGAGAGCCCTGCCCTCTGCTGGCCACATGGAAGCCATGCCGGCCGGGCCAGGTCCCTGCTATCCGGATGCTCAAGGCGCAAGGCCTCGTTCTCGTCTCCCCGGTGCCAGGCAGGGACAACGTGCACTCACTCCAGCCTCAAACCGAGCAGAGCCAGGCCGGGCTCCCCATCCAGCGGGGTGGGGGAAGTGCCAGGATTCCTCAGCACTCTCCCCCTCCGCCGCCTGCCATTGGCGCGTGTCCTGCCCTCGTCTGCCTGTCCCGAGAGCAGGGGCCAGCGTGGCTGGGACCTGAGGGAAGCAGCTGGCCTGGCCTAGGGAGGCTTACGGGTGGGGGCTGGAGCAGCTCTCCCCCTGCCACGGGCTGAGAGCTGCTCCAGCCCCGCAGGGGACCTGCTGCAGACAAGGGCTGCTCCCTTGTCCAGAGCAACCCCTGTCCGCGGTGGCCCGGGCACCCTGCAGGCAGGGGCTGCTTTGGACGAGCAGCTGCTCCCTGGGGGGGGAAGCAAAAGCAGGGGCCGCTCCAGTCAGGTTGGAGCAGAACTTGCTTGCGGTGGGGGGCCCGCTCCAGCCCTGCTGAGCTGGGGCAGCCTCCCCCCCTCCCCCACACACCCTTTAATCATTTGTTAAGGAATTAAAAAGGATTTGCCAGCCCTGGCCTGCAGCACAGATCGCAGGCCCAGCCCCCTACGGCCCAGCCCGCTTGTAAAGGGACCAGAAGCAGGCAGGCTCGGCTGGGCC